TTGTAGGAGCTTTCTAAATCACTTCCCTGTTTCTGGTGCTTACAATGGGATCAAGGGTCATGGACTCCATTGAAAAACCATGTGAAAGCTATGTACCATCTCTCAGAAAACTGAATGCTTATACAGACTCCTGCCAGTTTGTCCAGGAGCGTTAGGAATTCCCTGAGGTCTACCCTTGATTAAAACCCCTGGTCTAGTTGTCACCCTCCAATCTACCCATCAAATTTCTATCAGGGTAATATTCCTAACGTGCAGTTTGAATCATATTGCTCTCTGCCCAGAACCATTTCATTTCCTGTTGACTTCAGAACAGAAGTCCAATCTGCTTGAATTAGAATTCAAACTCTTTCAAGCTCTCACCTTTGTAGCCTCATTGCTCCTTCCTCCTAAACAGCCTTCTCAGCCAAACTAGAATATTGCAGTTTCCCCAATAACTTCTTCACCTTGCTCCCACAGTTGCTTTCTAACCTTCAAGCAACTGCAGAAGACTTTACCAGAGAGCCACTTCAGAACAGAAGTCCAATCTGCTTGAATTAGAATTCAAACTCTTTCAAGCTCTCACCTTTGTAGCCTCATTGCTCCTTCCTCCTAAATACACAGCCTTCTCAGCCAAACTAGAATATTGCAGTTTCCCCAATAACTTCTTCACCTTGCTCCCACAGTTGCTTTCTAACCTTCAAGCCCAGTGTCTACTCTGATTTTCATTATTTTTATGGGTGTTGCTCTCAAACCTGTATAATATCTTGCACGTTGTGGTGGTGTATTTGCCTGTTGGCCCCTCGGGTGTTTTTTTTCTTGCCCTTCCCTTGTATTCCTGAGAGGTTGCTCACTGAGGGTTGTGCTGTCCAGGCCTCCATCTGGCTTCAGCCATTGGAAAACCCTGGAAGGGAATGGAAGATTGAAGGAAGGGAGAAGCTAGGGCATTTCTTCCCCACACTGTCTGCCGCAGACAGTATCTCTGATGGTAAATGTGTCTCCTCTAGGACTTCAGCTCCTATCAGAGCGGACCTTTGAGCCTTCAGCTTTCGCTGATTGACCCTGGTTCCAGGGCTCTGATATCAAACATTTCAATTCTTTGTCCATATAACTCAGGGATTTCCTGCAATTACTGAGTTCCTGGATGCCTCACATTCCCATTTGTCTTTCCATCTTTTTCTTGGCCTATGTAATCAATGCCTTCATTATAGTCCTTCGGCTTGAATACTTAGACCAGTTTACATTTTCCTGATTGACTCTTGACTGATACAGCTGGTATTTGGTGGATACTTGCTGCATTTTATTACCTAATTTATGTCATCTTCTATGTGGTCATCTCTTTTTTGAGTGAACCAGAAGTGGGTCCTTTATTAGTCATCTAGTGCCCAATAGTATTACCTGGAGTTACCTGGCATAGTAACAAATTACTTCAAAACTCAACAGTTTGAAACAGGGGCATTTTTAAGTTCATGAGTCTGCGGGTTGGCTGGGTGGTTCTTCCACTTCAAGCTGGGCCTACTCATGCATCTGTAGTTAGCTGGAGATCAGCTAGGTGGCTCTGCTCATTGTGCCTGGGTTCTCTCGTACATATGGGGCTTGGCAGGTCAAGGCTGATCTAGGATGGCCTTGACAGAGACCACTGACATGAGCAAATTCCCTTCCATGTTTCTTAACCATTACTGGCTAGCCAGGCATGTTCTCATGGCGATCACAGAGAAGCAAAAGAAAAGACTTAAACATGACAAGAATTTTTTCAAACATCTACATGCAGCAGACTTGCTAACATTCCATTGACCAGAGCAAGTCACATGGCCAAAACCAGAATCAAAGGGATAGGAAAATAGACTCAGCTTCTTTGATGAGAAGAACTGCAAAGTTGCATGACAAAAGGACAGGTATAGGGAGGAGTGAAGAATACAGGCTATTGATGCAATGCAATCAGTCTGTCTCAGGCTCCATAAGATTTTAAGAGACCTGAGACAACACAGGTGCAAATAGATAGATAATAGATAATAGATAGATAGATAGATAGATAGATAATATATGGCATTAATTTTTGCCATAATAGTAATCCTCTTAAAATGAAAACTTTGCAATAAAATATGCATTATATATTTACTAATCTCTTCCATACTGTTCATTTGTACATAGTTAGTGAATGAAAAAAATAGACCAAGTAAAGAGACATTTATAAATAACATATTAGTTAACCAAGTTAAAGGGACTTTATTTATCCTTTAACCTTCAATTTGCATTAATTGGGAGCAGTCCTGGGAAATTGTGCCAACCTCACCTCAGGTCAGATGGCTTAACAAAATGAACTTTTTCATGCCCAGAAATAAATGTATTCCAAATATAAATATGAATCAGGTACAAACAGATTCTTTTGAAAGTACAAAATAACCACACTGTTAATATATTTGTGCCCCAATTAAAAATGTGTAAAGAACACACATTCTGAGCTAAAGTTGTCCCAGGAAGTAATTCTCATTTTTGCTTTGAATCTTGGGTATACAAACTGGGCCACCTCCTTTGAGCTGTGAGCTCCCTGTTTTCTAAAGAGAAGAATTAAAAATGGGTATGTTTAGGTTGGAAGGGTCTGGGGCTTGACCTTGCTACTTCAGATTTCCTTCATCGCTAAGAAATCACTTTGAATATGTCTACTTGGAGTACTCTAATTTGGTTTGTCCTTAGTTTGAGGCACACCATGAAAGAGACGCTGTCTGTCTGTATTATAGCAAAATTTGGAAACCACCTCAATGACACTGTTTTCCTGTTTTCTTTTCTGCAGTTTTATCTTTACAACCTACGCTGTTCTCAGTAATTCAGAACAAAGCCTGTGACACCCTACTGCCTGGGTGAGATTGCTGGCTAGCCTCTTCCTCACTGTTTGACTTTGAACAAAATGTTAAACCTTTCTCTGCCACTCCTTTCCTCCTCTGAAAAATAGGGTGATTAATAATACCTACCTCTGCCCTGGCCAGTGTGGCTCAGTTGGTTGAGTGTCAGCCCCTGTACTGAGAGATCACTGGTTCAATTACTGGTCAGGGCACATGCCCCACTTGCGGGCTCAATCCCCAGTAGGGGGCGTGCAGGAGGCAGCCAATTCATGTTTCTCTATATATATAATCAATAAAAACATAAAAAGATAATATCTACCTCACATGATGATTTTTATAATTAAATTAAGTGAAATTAGGTGAAAGAATGTTGCATAAACCATCCCACAAAATGTGCTGAGTAAATGTTATGTATAAAAATGCTTATTATATTAATCATTATATGAGAATTTTTATATTGTTTATCCTGAGTCAGGTTCACATGTATTCTTCAAAGTCTCAATCAGAATTATAGCCTCAAAAAAATAAATCAATGTCCAATATTGTTTTCATACAGAAGGCACTGTTTGTTTTTAAATATTAATGTTAGGGGTAGTGGTATATATTTACTCATATGTGCCATAAAAACGCAACAATTACAAACGCAAGCTTCTTCTTGGCACTGGCAAGTCAGCCTTTGAGAATGCTTGTAGAATATGTGTCTTAAATGTCTTCATCTTTGGACTCCTACTCTCAGAGTTTCTGATTGTCCAACAAACAGCCATTTGATACTAATGGCTTGGGGTTTGAAGATATAGGACAAGAGCAGTGGAGAGAGATTTTGAAGAAAATATATAAATACGGCCCCAAAGTCTTCCTTCATGTTGCTTTAAAGAGGAGGAAATTAATAATAAGCAGATCAATTTTTAACAAATATATTATGTCTTTTAACACACTGAATGTTGATTCTGCATGAAGTCATCCCGCAGAACAGCCATAGTTAAAACAAGACAAGGCAACATCCCGAGAAGCTCAAGAGTCCAGCGGCAGAGAAAACTCACACCTACACACAAACATACGCACACCCACACATACCCAACAATCACTTAATGATATAATAGGTGCTTTTATGGGGCCATAAACATTGGGTGTTGGGCGAAAGGACAATGAGCATACATTTATTCACTGTGGCAGCTAAAGGGATGAGCTGGAGATCCACACAGTTAGCTCTCACATCCCTAACGTTGACTCAAAAATGCAGAGGGATAGACACATATGCATAGATTCATTTCGTATAGGTAAATTAAAAACACAACACTGTGCATTGTCCTGGGTATACATATTGTATGTGTATATTTTAAATGTGGACTACAAAGATGCAAACAGATGTATGTTCTGGCCTTGGAGTGGAATTGTCAAGGAGATTATACCTAGGCTCTATTTTTAATTTTTTTTAATTAAAAAGGAAGAGCAGATGTGAAAAAATTTTATCAGCGGTCCATTCTAGGTAGCAGGAACCCAGACGTTTGTTCTACTGACCCCTGTTTTTTTGATTGCTAAGTTCCATACAACAAAAATTTGGGAACCACAGTTAGTTGAAAAGCCGCTTCTCGCTTGTCCCTACACTTGGAGACATTGTCTGCTGCACAAGCAGATGCCGCTGTTTGTTTGGCCGCCTCTTTCATCTGTTTATACCTGTGCGAAGTGTCCCCAACATAATCGCACTTAGCACAGTCTAGACAGCGCCATAGCGTCATGCTTGGATGCATGTCCTGTGGTTTCACCACAGGGCACAGCCGAAGCTTTTATTTGTTAAGACCTATCTGAGCCCCGACTGGACCCTCGTTAGCACATTTCTAAATTGTTTCAGATTCACATTTGTCTTTTAGTCATTTTCCCAGGCTGAGAGTCCAAAACTCCTGAGTCCTGTCCACAGAAAAGTAGGTCTTTGGGATCCACAGGCGTTGTCCCCTGCCTATAATGTGTTACTATAATCTCTGTGTTAAAGGATTCTCTGAAACCATCGGCAACCATCTCCCCTTTGGAATGAGATTTTATCTAAGTCTATTTGCATTTATTCAAAATCAGAGACAGCTCTGAAACCAGACTCTATTTAAACATAGAAAGAAGAGCAGATTAAGCAAATGTTGGGGAACTTTAAAAAAAAGCACTTGTATTTATTTTCTTGTGTTTCCTTTTTTCCAGATCTGCGGTTTCCCCCCCATTGGCTGTCCTGCGTGGGTGCCAAGTTCCACACGTGATTTCATGGATCAGAAGGTCAGATAGCAGGCCTGATTCGGGTGTTGGCCGACTCATGATCTCTATGCTTGTCACTTTGCAGCATTGTGGGAATTATCTTCTAATTGGTGGCACTACTGCTGTTGTTCTTTAACATAGTTTTGAATTCTGTAGGTATTCAGGGAAATATGAAACAGTAAATGGGCTTTTTAAAAAGCATAATTGGAGTAAAGGAATGCCACAAATTCACGTGGGGGAATAAGAGTAATGATAAGACAGGGAGAGAAAGGAGCCCATCTTTTCGTTTGTTGTGTGGGAAAATTGTGCTCCATGAAGATCCAACAGTCCTCTCCAGTCTCTCTTTTGTGTGTGAAAAAGTCCTAAGACTTACATCACCCATTGGTTGGAGCAAGTCAGATAGGACAAAAGCACCTGTGCAGCAAGGATCCCCTGTCTTGATTGACAAGCCCTCTGAATTCTCCCTGTCCATTCCCAGGTGTTTGCCAATAACCAGCAGCTCCTTCTGCAACGCAAGGTTAGAATTCGGAACCCGGTTTGTTTACATTATTATAACGACAATTTCAGTTTGTCTCTACAGTTAAGGTTGTGTCAGCACTTCCCTTGCTGTGTTTATTGTCTTTAGCAGTTTAAAAGCTACCCATGAAAAAAGTGGTTCCCTGGCTGGAAGGTGACATTCCGGCTGGGCCCGCGTCTGGCCGAGTCTATAGAAATGCGCGCTGGCTGTGGGAGCCTGGTCTTTTGAATGCTGTCTTTGTGCCTGCCCTGGCCCAGGGCCTCTGGCCCATTGTCTAGGTGCCTCAGTTAGGGGTGGCGCTATCTGATGGTAACTAGTACTAATATTACAGTACTTAGTGCCCAGGCCCTCCCTGGGGGCCCCCGTCTGGCTGCCTCTGTCTCCCAGCCTTCTCTCCAGGGGACCAGTCGCAGTTCTCATATCAGAAAACACTATTTGTAATTTATAGAATAATCGGGCAAAGGGACCTGCAAGGATGGTCTAGACCTGTGGTTCTCTCTAACTTTTTTTTTTTTTAACAAAGAACCCTTTTCCCAAATGAAAACTTTCAATGAACCCCCATCTGTAAGACATGGAAAAGTACAGCTGTTTTGTATGAAGATGAGAAGGGTGCCGCAGACCCCACTCTTCAGCCTCCTCTTCACCCACGCCCAGTCTAGGTGACTTGTCAGGTCCCTCACCCCTCCCTGGAAACCTACCACTCCTCAGAATGCCTGCACACCATGCTTGCAGGCGGTTCCCTCAATTGACAGATACGGAAACTAAGAGGTGGTTTTTATAGATGCTATAAACGTGAGGCACTAGACACTGAGGAGTTCTTGCTGTGTTCATTCATTTGTATGTAGTTTTAGGAAAAGCACAACTCACCTATGGTGATAGGAATCAAAACAGTGGTTACCTCATGAAAAGAATGGATTAACTGGGAAGGGGCACAAAGGAATTTTCTGGAGTGATGGAAATGTATAAAAACACAGAGAGAAAATAAAGCCAAACAAAAAAAACAACTAGGCATTTACTAGTAAGGAATGAAAATACTGATGAACATCCTTATATACTGAGAATGCTGATGAATTTTCTTAATGCTATGTCGGGTCTAAGGTCACTACACAAGGTTTCAGAAAATATGAGACTAGCTGCTTTTCCAATCCTTTCTTTGTTCAGTAATTACCCAAACCAGGGAAAAAATACTCAGAGAATTCCAGCCAATGGAATGACTGACTATCTTCTGGGTACTTGTACCCTGTAATGTGGCTAAAGGAAGATAATGGGCATTCTGGGAATGGAAATCTCAAGTATGTACTTGATTCATGCATTACTTGGACATGTGCTATTGATAATACCTGGGAGATTCTTCATAATTCTTTAATCCTTCGCTACCTCACCTGAATGCTTTTCCGTGACCTATAAAATGCCAGGTTCCTTCTCAGTTATCCTAGCAGAATGGAACCTCTGGTGACTGAGGTTGGAAGACAGGCCTAAATAGCACCTGTACCATAAGCTACAGGCCGATTCGGGCGTTTTGCTTTTGACATGTGTCAGGTAGTCTCAAATGACTGGCCGTGTACCTATACACTTGCAATAAGGCATGTTGACCCTCTGAAAAGCGCTTTCTTCCCCCTGAAATACTTTGAACCAACTCTATTTAAATTTTCTATTTGTGTGTTTTAGAAGTCTTACAGTAACGTAGAAGGCAGTTATTTTGGTTGGTTGAGGTCATAGGCCAGGACGTTAGGACCCAGCAGCCAACTCTGCCTTCCAGAGCCTGATGAGGAAACTGGCTGGGAAGAGCAAGAAATTGGTTTTTAAAGGAAGTAATGACAGAGCTAGGAAATGGCAAGAGAGGGTCCCTTGGAGCCAGAGCAGGAAGGATTTCGAGCTACTCCAATGTTCCAGCTTTTGAGGCTGTGTTACTTTTCTTCAGAAAGGACAAACTACCTACTCCTTGAGTGATTTCCCAATCAAGGGCTTTGGCCTATTTAATTCCCAATGTGGATCCGCACTGACAAAAACTCAGCTCCCTGATGAAGCTATGGCAAAACTTCCATAAAAAAGAACATTTTCAGTAACCAGACATTTTTAAAATTCACAATTACCATGCTTTGTCTGTACGTACACGCAAATTTCCTAATCAAATTAAATTCAATTTAGCAAGAGATTTTTTATATGACCAATTCAGTTTAATGTGCCTAAGAGCAGAAATGAAAGTACACAATGTTTGCAGAATTTGCTTTTTTGCAAAACTCGCTTTTTTTTGCAATTCTGTGTGCATTTGAAAGGAACTGTTTCTTCAGATCATTATGAGTCAGCCTATCCAAATGGAAAATACCAAGATGGAAATTGTATGTCTTCTCCATTTCAGTGATTTGGGGCAAGTGATTTTCCTGGCACCAAAGTTCTTGAAATGTATGTATGTGTGTATGTATGTATGTGTGTGTGTGTGTTTTTGTTTATTTACTTACTAGGTCAAATGTTCTTGTGAAATACAACCTGTGTAGTCACATTTTGCTAGTCATAAGAATGAGAGTGAGAGGGAAACATCAATAATTGAAGCCCAATCTATTGATATTTTGTCCCATTAACTTTTTAAAATCAGCAACCTGAACCACTAAACTGCTAATAATGGCTGTTAATAAGTGACAGAATACCCTAATTTGAGTTTTCTCCTTTTCCTTCTCCCAACTGTTTTCCTTGTTGCTATTGGGCTCATAACAACTAAAAAAATAGAATGAAAGAAAAATAACAGACACTTTAACCCTCTCTGATTGCATTTTGTAAAGCCAATTTGAGTCCCATTTTTTCCCCTGCAAATGTTGGCGGGGGGGCAGGTTTGGTTGACATCGGCTGCCTACTGCTCCAGGTGTCTTCTCAGGAAGTTTGCTGAGGCAAGCATTGTAATTTCTGCTGCAACGTCCTAGACAAAGTCTCTCATTAAAAAGTAATTGCCCTTACACTTACACAGTAAAAGCATAAAAACATGCATGGGAAAAACACATGCCAACTGTAAACTAGTGGCTAGCTTGGCAAGAGAAGGGCGGGAGAGGAAAGAGATAGGGAGAGAGGTAATTAGTGTTTTGCTAAGTTTTATTTCTTATAAAGAGACACGAAGCAAATAAAGCAAATCTAAACGATGGGTATGTGGGTGTCTGTAATATCATCTTATATGGTCTTTGAATGTGTGTAATACTTTGCACTTTATTTTTTACTTAAGCAAATGCCTTTTATATAGGCAAAGTGATTTGAGTCCTTGAAATTCTTTACTTTAGCCATAATAATCTACTTACAAATTACATATCATACTTCTGTGTCTTTGCACATGCTACTTCCTCTCCCTGCCTGTCTCTATCCTACTGTTCTCAACGTAACCGCTGCACCTTCCCAGACTCATCAGAGGTATCACATCCTCTAGGAAGCCTTGCCTGATGCCCTGCTCCCAGTTCATATCTGGCTTGGAGGTCCTACTCATCGCTCAAAGAACATGATGCGTGTTTGTATCATGGCATCTCTTACACTGTTGTGTAAACATTGGTTTGCTTCTCTGACTTCCAGGTCTATCATGTCTGGCTGAGCTGCAGTACCCCAGTGGGCACCATTTACACACTGTCCAACCTGCACAATTATGGAGGCAGTCCTGCCTCCTTCCCACCAGAGAGAGACCATCTTTATACCTCTGTGCAAAATACCTATTCTAGTTTCAAGTGCTGGAATTGGCACGTATTTACATAACAAACACTTGTTTAATGAATGAAAAAGTGAGCAACCAAACTCTAGTTTTCTTGATGAAGAATTCTTTAGACAAGTGGTTCTCAAAGTGTGGCCCCTGGACCAGCAGCATCTGCATTACCTGGGAACTTGTTAAAGTGCAGATTCTTTGGCCCCCTCCCAGGCCTACTAAACCAGAAACTCTGTGGGTGGAACCCAGGAAACTTTAACAAGCCCTCCACATGATACTGATGCATGCTGAACTTTGCGATATACTAATTTAAACATATGAAAACTAAAAGCAAAGGTTTGATCTTACCTAGGTTGAGTCTGGAAAGGTGAAGAGGAGTGATCTAGGAACTATAAGGGCAGTAGGGTCAGGCAGAGGAAGTAGCATATGCAAAGACAGAAGCACGATACGTAATCTGCAGGCAGATTGTTATGGATGAAGTATAGAATTCAGGCAGTGAGGATAAGACAGATGGAAATCTGGAAGTCTGTCTGAGATGTTTGCGTTTTAATCTGACAGTCCTAGGGAGCCATTTAAAATTTTTTAAAAAGTAGCAATTTAATCCAGTTTTATATTTTAGACAGTATCCTATGGCAATGATGTGACAGATAGGATGGAGGTGAGATTGGGTCAAGTAAGCAGCTATAAATTAGTCTAGGTGTAAAATGATGAGAGCTGAAGATGAAGAGATGGTGGTGGTCACTACCTATGAAACTTTCAGTGAAGGGATTAGAATTTGATTCAGGACTAAAAGAATAAACAAAATTTGACTTTTATGGAAGAGGAGGAAGGGAG